GGAATGGAGCATAATATACCACACTGGTCCAATGTGGTTGGCAGATGTTATCAGTGCTAGTCTGGGGTATTTATCATGGCCTGTTCACCTTGGGAGACTGTTCTGGACATATACATGTCCAACAACATAGCCTACGATTTTATTTACCCACACAAGCCCCTTTACCACGTTAAGGCCTGAATGGTTTTTTATGGTTTCCAAATTCAATGTGACTCTGGCAAGTATACAACAACAAATGAACAGAAAAAAATAATAACACTGCATTAAAAAACAACACAATATCTAAAACATAAAATGATAATTGAAAATTATCATTGAAAATTGAAAATTAAACAACTGAAAGGAGACTCCATTCAACTGAACCCCGATGCCTGGGGAAAAAGTCAGGTCGTGTTGACTTTTCTAAAGGCAAACAGAGTTGGGTCCTGTAATGTATAGGGAGATAATTTCATAACAAAAAGGCACACCGTCTAAATCCCTTGAGATGACAAAAGTTAATAGGAGTGTTGTGAGGAAAATGCTCACTAAAAGCAAAATCAGAGCATTTGGAGATGGAAACAATAAAGTGTACTTCACTGGAAATACTTCCATTGAGTTCCCTGTCAGCAGACTGCAGGAGAGAGACAAAAGCAAGCTTCTCACAACATATTGTATGTGTTGGCAAAAAATATTGGAACAAACAGATAAAAGATAAACAGGGTAATGTAATCACCCAATGCCTTCTCCTCTACCTGTGATTAGAGTACTTTTCAGACTTGTGGCATCCTCCCTGATGTTATCAATATGTACCATAAACATTGGTATTTATTTGTACTCTCTATTCACATAAGTGTAAGCATTTGGGTTCTGATAATTGTTTCCACTTTAGGGTTGCAGCACTGGAATTTAGGTTATGTATTTATCTATTGCTACTAAAAGCCATACCACCTGATATATTTATATATGCTGACTATAGATTGGATGCTCTTTGCCACTAGCCTTCATACGGCAACATATGGAACAGAGACATGTTCTTCGGAGAAAGCAATATAAGACTTTAAAGCTGATAACCAGCACCTTGAATCACATCTCAAAGCCTATTGAGAGCTAGTGTACTTTGCAGTGCAACAGTGATATAAAGAGGTAATTCCCTTAATTATCCACACCATTAAATTCTGGACAATTTCAGAATAGTTTCCAAGGCCATTCCCATAAGTGAGAAGGGCGTGAGTGACAAAAAGCAAGGTTTCCAAGTCCTGGAATGGCCACAACTGGTGGACAAGACAAAGAACCTGCCATCATTGCTGCCACCTATTCTTTGAACATGAGCTGCAAGTCCAGGGGCATACCAAGATTCTGTTCCAAATCTGGAGTGGAAATTTGGTATTGCCACTGCTTGTACAATCAAAGATTCAGAGGCCATAGATGATCTTCAGAGACATTGGGCATTGGGATGGAATCTTGATCACGTCAATTAATGGCTGGGGTAGAGGTATACAAATGACACTGACAATGATGGTCCTCTGAACCAGGACAACCATCTTTTCAGCAGGACTGAAAGAGATTTGTTCAGATTCTTCAGAAGGGAAACCTTTCAGAGGCAGCAGAACCATACCATCCTGAGCATTTACTACTCCCTGAATCCAGGTCATATTGAGGTGAACTGAAGAATAATCTTGTGATTGTATCTGGGATGGGTTCAAGCCTGGTAGTCTCAAGAAAGTGAACAAGCTCTTTGGAACTACAAATGTGATTATCCATTTTCTATCTATCCATTTCTTTGGGACTACCTGGCTATCTAGATAAGAGCTCAGGATAACACTCAGGAACTCTACCCTCGGCACATAGGCTGTCTCATGCAGAACAGGTAAAGATGTTCCTAGGCAGCAGGGAGTCTGTTACAAAAGAACTTCCAAATGATCCTTAAAATCCAACTTCACCAGTACAGCCTAACATCTGCCTATCTGTGGAGCAGCATCCTTGACAACATTCAGAGTCTCTCTATGGACAACACACATACCCCATGCACCCATGGGAATTATGACTGACTATTAATTGTTAGTATATTTATTTTATTTTATGAATGAATAAATGTACTGCTATCACACATTTTCAACCAACTTCTAAGAATCCTGAGACTGACCAAATTTAAAGAAAATTAAGTATGGTAATGAAAACTAAGAAACAAGATCTACAAAAGTAAAGCTAAATATATTAACTCCTCCCCTTTCATATAATTCATTCTGATGGAGATAAAAACAAGAAAAAGGACATCTGACAAACAACAAGGAAGGAAGCTGCTGAAGGCAAGCTAAAATAAGGAAGTGTGGAGTATCTTTAAAAAAATTGATTGAGAAACATAAATGCAGAAAATTGTGGTTCTAGTTTATTATTTTAGTAATTTTTAGCTTGGTCTGCTTTACTGTGGGTGGCTAAAACTTTCTGATTTTTATGAATTGATTGGCCAGCAATTCTTAAGTGACTTACAAAAAAGCTATTCTTTGTCTAGAGAGTGAGTTAAGAAGATTGTTAACAATATTAAGAAAATTATTAGAGATGTATTTGAAAAATATTTAAATAAAATCCATCAGTTCATAGATCAGTTATGATCCAAGGATATTTTTAAAAACTTCTCATACTACTTCAGAGATGCAAATATGTGTAGGACATTACCAAACCACTGAGGCAATTTCACAAGTAGCTGACAATAAAGATGAGTCAATTGAAATTTTGGAATCTAAACCTGACACCAATCTCCATAAAATCTGTAATTTTAAAAGGATAAGTTTGGGATGTCTTCTTCATGGACATTAACAAGGTTGAGAAATCCTTGATAAAAAGAGAAGCTTATAACTACTTGACAAATATTCTTCTTCTTCCTGTGTCATATCTGTCATCAGACATTGGCAATCATGTCCGCAATCTATTTTTGTCAACAACCACATGAAAAAGTGCTGCCAAGCTTTGTCCAAATTTGTCCCTTAGGTTTTGAAGCCATGATGTTGTTCTTCTGCCTGGACCTTGTTTGCCTTCAATCTTTCCCTGGAGGATTAAATGAAGTATGCCCTATTTTTCTGGGTGTCGCATCACATGTCCAAAATACCCTAACTTTCACTTCTTAATGGCTTTGATGATTTCCCTTGGCTTTCCAGGAGGCTTATCACCTTCTCATTTGTAATTTTGTCAACCCAGTTTATACGTAACATCCATCTGTAAATCCACATTTTAAATCCTTCTAGTCTCTTCAAGTAGCTTTCTGTCAGAGACCATTCACTCCATAGAGCAGGATAGAAAAGATGTAGCATCTGACAAGCCTGATTTTCAGTCTTAGGCTTATGTTGTCACTGCAGAAGACCTTTTCATTTTGAAGAATGTTGTTTGACCTTTTTTACTTTGGTGGTCATTTTCCAGCTTTCATGTAAATTAGAACCGAGGTATGTGATTCTTCAACCTTTTCTAGTAGTATTCCTTCTGAAGTTATCAGTGGTAAATTTATGGGTTGTTTGCTGATGACCATGATCTTGGTTTTTGAGGTGTTAAGCTTCAAGCCATATTTTTCAGATATTTCTGAGACTCTGCTGATGAGGAACTGAAGGTCTTCCTGCTTACAGGCAAGCAGAACTGTATCATCAGCATATCTTAAATTGTTGATCTGAACACCGTTTACTTTGAAGCCAGCATCGATGTTTTCCAGTGCTTCGTTGAAAATTGACTCAGAGTAGATATTAAATCTACGGAGACAGAATACAGTCCTGTCTGACCCCTCTTCGTATTTCTGCATCATCTGAGTATTTTTGGCCTAGTCTCACATTTGCTACCCGATGCCAATATAGATTCTTTATTATTTGGATGTCTTTGTCATCTAGTCCAGCTTGTTTCAGGATTTGTAATAGTTTGCTGTGTCTTATTTTATCAAATGCTTTTTCAAAATCAATGAAGCACATGTAAACACTGTGATTAACATCTCAGTGCTGTACAAGAACTTGAATGCTGAATAGGGCATCTTATGTACCAAGATGGTTTCTGAAACCAAATTGTGTGTTATTTAAGTGCTCCTCAATTTTGTTGTATATTCTTGTGTGAATTATTCTCAGGAATATTTTCGGGTCATGACTCATTAAGCTAACATTCAAACATTCCAGACAAACATTTTAGAGAAGAAAAATATTTTATATCATGATTGAGTGAGTTAAAATTAATGAGTCAATTGTAATTTGGATGGATTTCTATCAGTCTGATATTTGTAATTGAAAGAAAGTTTTAATCTAAGGTTTGAAAATGTATTTTTCCTTTATATATAATGCTTACATAATTCTGAAAGTTTGTAAAATATTATTGAAAGTGTATTTGAAAGTATCTATGTTAAGAGAAAGTTAAAGAAATAGATGTATTAGCTTAAAGAAAAGTTCAGAATTTTTAAAAGGACGTATAGAAGAAGAAGAAATTATTCTGTGAGGGTAACTTGGAGCAAGTGATCTAAATTTAATGAGTTAATTGGAATTTTATCGATCTGAAAGTAAACTATGTATGTTAAGAGAAAGTTTAAAAAGATTATTAGAAAGTTTTGATTTTAGAAAGGTTTTTAAAGAAAAGATCAGTGTTTTAAAAGGGGGGAGTATTTTTCCCTTTAAGGTTAAAGAATCTGAAAGTACACAGTGAAATTTATTTATAATAAATAAATAATTTATAAATGATAATAATTTATAAAGATTATTATATGCAAATAGAAATACATATTATTTCTACAGCAGTGAACATTTTATTTTCATGTTTTATTGTGTCACATTGAAGTAAATAGCCTTAATTATTACTGCTAATGTGTTTTGTATTGTAAAAGGGAAGCAACTTCATTCAGAGAACTTGCAGCATGAAGCATTAATTGAAGCATTAATTGAAATTCTATGTGGTTACTTCAAAAAACAAAATTATTTATCTTTAGAGTTATTTGTTTAAACCTTCTGCTGATCACATATAATGATTCATCCAAAGATGACTATGCATTGAAGAACATTAACAGAAACCTTTTGAGGAGCGAAAATGTTTGCTGGGAGCTGTAAAACCTCTTGTTCCATGCACATTTACGGCTGCCACCCGAAACTGGTACCACCTACTAGGTCTGATGTCAGTCAGTTGCAATCTCTCATCTGTGATCTGCAAAATAAAATCCAGTTAAGATACACATTTACTATTTTTATGACTTCCATCATTGGACCTTTCATGCTTTGCTTATTGAAAGGGGAATCCCTTTTCCTATTTTTCATGAAATAAAAATTGGACTAGGTAAGATTTTTCAAACCATCTACTTCAGGATCCATCCCAAAGAATTTTTGTCTCTGGCTGAATTAAAAAAACAAAAAAACTTTGAAGTTACTAGAGGTTGAACCTGGTATCTTTAATAGATGCAATCCGTACTAGATGTATATGCGTCATCTTTTACGCATTTTTTCACACCATACCACTTTATACACACATCTTACCAGTTCATTTTATTTCTTTGTATAGTGATGAGCAGAGCATCCTCATATGCAAACATCAATATGTATCAACTCTTTCAAAGTTTTTTTTCTGCTGTAAATGCTGCTGGAATCCATCCCACAGCATTATGTAGAAGCAGACAGTTTGCATATTATACATATATAGTGTGTATGTGTATATGTTTTATATCCTCTTTGTGTATAATATGCATACTGTCTGCTTCTCTCTCTTAGTCTCTCTGTCTCTCTCTCACACACACACATACACTAAGAGAGAGAGAGAGATGCATAAATTCTTGCACATCTTACTATTATAGGTCAGCATGCAAATAAGCCATAGTCTTCCCTTTAAGACATTCTCCTAAACTGAAGGCCACAGAAAATGAGATTTGTATTATCTCTTCTTGCTGTAAAAAGTTTATTATTAACCATTATTAAACCCTGTTCCAAATCAGAGTTAAAAATACAGGTGCATGCAGGAAATGCCTCCATTCTGTTCCCAGAATAAAACAGTTACATCTATAACATATTCAACAATGGCCCAAATGGGGAAGACTGGTAGTATCTTTTTCAAGTCCAAAACACAGAATTACCTGATATGTTTCTACCAGAACAAGAGATGGCCCACTTATTTGTGTTGCTCCACATACTTGGCAAGTTGCAGAATGAAAGTTGCAATGACTTATTTTCAAATTAAGCATGATACCAATAGCAATAATACTTAAAATTATAAACTTCCTCATAATGCTTTACAGCACTCCCTAGGTCAGGGGTGTCAAACTGGATTTCTTCAAGGGCTGGATTAGCATTGTAGTTCTCCTCCATGGGCTGGGCATGGGGTGTGTGTGCATGTGGCCCCCCCATGCCCTGTTTTCAGCCTGGATGGCCTCCTGCAGAGTGCTGCAGGAGGCCCAAAATAGGGCGCAAGGGAGGTATGTGCAGCTCTTTGTGACCCCTTTTGGCTGCCAGAGGTACCATAGGCTGGTCCTTTGCCCAGGCTGGCCCTGCAGGGCAGGTTTAAGCACCCCGCAGGCCAGTTTCGACCTGCAGGCATTTGAATTTGACATCCCTGTTCTAGGTTCTTTACAATGTCAGCATTATCTGCATATTGCTCCCAACAATCTGTGTTCTCATTTTACCAACCTCAGAAGGCTGGAAGACTGAGTCATCCTTGAGCCCTGCCAGAATCAAACTCCAGGTTGTAGGCAAAATTAACCTCCAATAGTGCATTCTAATCACTGCACCACCAGGACTCTCATGATCTCCCTTTCTCCTCTACTCCTTCTGAAGCAGATTGTCAAGCATCGGGGAAATCAGAAGATTCAGGCAGTTCAAATGAGTATAAAGATTTATTGCAAGCTTAAGCGCCTACAAGAATCTGAGCAAGGGAAATTAGCGGGAATCAAGAAGGCATTCAAGGTGGGTTGGACTTAGATCTCTTGTGAGTGTGCAGGGATTCATGACTTATGACACATTTGACCCCTTCCTTGGTCTCAGCGTGGTCATCTCCTATACAGACTGGAAGAAAGAAATGAGAACTTTTCTTTGACCTTACACAGTATTTCAGATCTGCAGCACAAACTTCAAAGAGAGAACTCCAGGTCCTGGGTATGTTTAATGTTTGATGGCAATTAATATCAGTCAAAAATGTTTAATCTCTGATTAACAAAAATAATATTAAGGAAAATCTTAAAGGTAACAGAACTCTATTCAAAGTACTGACCTGTGCTATAGTTTGCCAACTTGTTGCATCATCTTCACTGGGGTGAATCCCATAATTCCATCTCCTTTGTATCACATAGAGCACAGGTTCAATGGAGATATTGAATTTTGAAGACCATTTAATTTCCAGCTGTCCAGACTGAAGTTCACTAAATTTTAATTCCTTTCTGGGTTTTAAAGGAACACCTAAAATATGTAATATGCATAAAAAGAAATTGTGTTCACAACTATTTGGAGAAGCAAGTGTATATCATATAAATAGAATACCTACCCTCACTTTTATCCCAATAGCAAATACATTTTTGCCTGTGTTGTTTTAAAATATGTCATGTGCTGCCTTTAATACTGAAAATACTTACCAGCTGTACTGTGAATGTATTATGGAGATAAGCTATCATTTCTATGATTTGGTAGTTGTAATAGACAATGTAATATTTAAGAAGTGGTTCCTATTTTCTGTTTTCAGGTGCTGACACTTTTTTCAACTGATTCAATATCCAGAAGAGTTTACATGGGAAAGCATGGTCAGCTTGAGACTCTAGGGTGAAATTAGAAGATCTGTCATATAAAGAATTAAAAATTATCCTATAATTTTATAAGAAATGTAATATGTGTGATTCTTTCTTATATGTAGAAATTAATTGTTCATATATTGTTAACTGATTCATTACGATAAATATGGGGTCTCAGTGAAAATAGTAAAACTATTTCAAGTTTATTTCTACTGCTTCCACATGTTACTAGATTTTTCAAAAAAACTGGTAAGACTTTAAATGTGGCATATGTGAACATTTAACCAGAAATAATACTTCTTTCTAGGATATGACATTTTCTCTAAACTTAAATCTAAGAAAACTGTTTCTTTAAGAAACTACTGAAGTGCTACAATTGCTAGAGTTATTTTTTGCTTCTGTTTTGAACTTGTTACATCCCCAGAATAAATCAGGTTTATTTTTGCCAGCCTCTACACTTTTCTTGTTAAATCAATTGTGTTTTCTATAAATTTAGGATTTTCTCTAACAAAGAACGTAGAATTCTAAAACTGTCAAGAATAAAAAATATTGTAAGCAAATAAATTTATTTTTATATTAGTCTTCTTAAGAGAAACTATGCAGCTTCTCAATAAAAATATGTTGTTATTATGTGTAATAATCTATAGCCTCCGTTCTAAGGAACTTCCCATCTGCTTTGCATTATGGTCACTAGGATTCACTTGATTGGAACTAACTCCAACAACACCAACTAACCGCTAATGGCTGTAATTGTGTGCAGATGGGTGTCATGCAGTAGAGCAGGGTTTCTCAACTTTGCTAACTTTAGGAGGGTGGACTTCAACTCCCAGAATTTCCCAGAAGAATTTGATTTTTGATGACAAATGTATATTTTTTCATCGTATTCTGGAGAAGTATCTGAAAAAATTCTTGGCATGCCAAGTTTAGATTTAACCCCTCAGAAATACGGGTATAAATTCATTAGTTTCAAGACATAATAAATAGTGCTCACGATAATTTTTAAAAATCCTATTTCATGGTCTAAGACACAAACTGTCTCCAAAGAAGCTGCTGCAGATGAACGAATAGAATGTCAGCATGGAGAGATACCAAGCCAGGAATCATTATGGTTTCATTTGATGTCACACCATTCTTTATACCCATAGAACCAGAAATAGCAAAAGAATCCACAGCAGCAGTATTCTATGATACACTTGAGATAGGCAAATACACTAAGATCAAAATATCCAGAATCATAGACTTCATCAACCTCTGCCATTAACTACTTTCAGTTTAATAAACAGGTACACACAAAAAAAACCTTACCACCATTCTCAGAACTCAAAGCAAAGACTGTAATGCAGGGTGTAGAAACTATAGAACATTCATATAATCAAAAGCATGGATCCATTATGTGGACAATACCTTTGTCATAATAAAGGGACAAGTATACTATATATGAAATGAAAACATCTTCAGAAGAATAACATTCACAAGAGAATGAGAAAATAACACACTACCTTTCCTGAATATCTATACTAGCAGAGGAAATTACAGCAAACTAGAAATACAAGTCTACCCAAAATGACGATGTTAAGTGCTCATTACCAAAATAATAACCAGCCTCCATAAAAGGAGCTGTATAAGTAGATTACTCAGAGAAATATAAATGTACTAAGCAATACTGAACACCAGAAAAAAAGAAATACACTGCATATATGAAATATTCCAACAAAATTACACTCACACAATTTTATCAAAAAGTGTCTGACCAGTCAACCCACTACAATATAACCAATGCAAGCAATGAAAAATATAAAATTAGTACACATAAAAAAGATCTCAGAAATATCAGACTATTACAATATACAGCATTACCATAACACACAAATGAACTAAAGTTATCCAAAACATCAAAAGACCAGGAGCCAAGAAGGAAAAAGAGTAGTCATCTGTCACATATAATGTAAGAACTGTAAGTTACTAGTAGGGCATACAGGCAGAATAGCACATCCATGAACACCAACTAGCAGTTAAAAACACACGATGAAACTCTGTAATTTCATAACACATGGACATATTCAATCATAGTTTCAACTGGGCAACAGTAAGCATCCTAGACCAAGCTAAATACAAAATGCTAGGATATTCCTAGAAGATTGGCATTCAGATAAATCAGCCATCAACAGACATGCAGAATCTATTTACAAGTCAGTAGGATCATTCTGGATTCTACATTTTCTTATTAAGAGCTTCTTTCTGAAGGACAAGTGAGTGATCACACAGTTTCACTTTGACTGGATAAGTCCTACTGCATCTGGGTTTGCCACCCAGCCATCAATCTTCACTATTTTCTCTACCTGGAACTCTCCATCATTCATGGTTTTTTAGTTATTGTTGGGGAGGAATGTTCAGTTAAATTGTTCAATCTACCACAGTAAAATAGTCATTAATTATAGAGTGACCTATTTCCACTAAACCTAAGAATGAGATCTTGATTTCAAATAGCTTTCTGGATCTTCAATTCAAATTATTATTTTTTAAATAATTTGATTAAACTAACTATACATGAGATTTTTTTATTTGATGTGCTACTTCTTTGAAATATACAGCAAATTCATTATTCTATTAAAATGTCTATGATGCCAATTAAATTTTATTTTTAAATTTTATAACCATTTAATTTTTTTTTAAATGAAGGAATTTATGAACTGTAGGTATTATATACTATAGTTCTTATATCAGTTTGGTTTTATGGCTTTATGACTAGAAGTTATATTCTATAAATAATATATAACATTTTTGTCACAATTTTGAACCATGTTACCCTTTAGGCAATATTTGCTTAAAGGAAACATTTTGCCTCCTTGAAGCCATACCTCATTTGTCAAAAAAAGACACTTAACATCTTCAAAGTCTCATCCCATTGGAAATGAAACTATAAAACCTATTCCTTGTTTGAGATGTTTGAATAACTCTAGAAAATGCTATAAGGCATTCACTGGGAAGTGCCCTATGTCTCCTGATCTATTTGTAAAAGCCATAATAGGCTTCTAAACAGGTATTATGTCTATTCTGAGGCCTCTTTGACTTTGGCAAAGATTGCTGGAGAAGGCTGAGAAAAAAGTGTTGCCTTGCTGTTTTTTCTATATTTTCTAGCAGCACTCATTAGAGTCAGAAGACGATGTTTCTACTGTTCTTAGAAGTTGCACAGAAAAAGCTGATTGTATAGACCAGTTGTTTTCAAAGTCTAATTCAGATTAAAAAATGTCTCCGAAGTTCATTTTATTAATTTACATGAGTCAAACCATGCAGAATCTTAGTACAAGTATTCTGCTTAGTCGTTTAACATAAAACTTCCCAACCAAAAATCAATTAATGAAGAAAGGGAAGAGCTACATATTTAGATTCAGTAAAGAGTTAGGTAAGATCCAATTAATATTCACTTCTGTTGCTGAAACAGATTTTCTAAAATTGCAATCCTAAGAGTTAGAAAAAGAAAATGTAAGAGTAACATTTGAGTATACACATACACAATTCATACTTGTTTAATAGTCAACAACCTAAAGAAACCTATTGAGAAAATATGAAGAATTATGAATGTCATCATTTACAGTAATTCTTTTTTAAAAAACATATATTTTTTATTTCCATTTCATAACATACAATCACATGTATACTATACATAGCCAATATCATATAGTATTAAATAATGATTACATCAGTTCCTCTTGTCCTCATGCCCCAAAAAGATTAACACCCATTATTAGCTCTTCTACTCTCCACACACCTCCCTCTTCCACCTCTCTCCTACTTCCTATCTTCCCTCCCTCTTCCCTTCCCACTCCACTTCCCCTTCCTTTCTCCTTCTCCTCCCTCTACATTCCACTCCTCCTTATCCTCATCCTCCTCATCTTCCCCCCTTACCCTCTCTCCTATCCCTCCCTTCCCACCTTTCTTCTCCCTTCTGCTTCCCACTCTTCCTTTCATTAGTGTATTTCCATTTCCATACTACTCTATTTCCTCTTCCTTTCTCCTTCTACTCTCTCCCCTTACCACTCCTCCTTATACACCTCATCTTCCCCCTTCATCCTCTCTCCTATCCCTCTCTACAGTAATTCTTCACTTCTATACTGTAAGCATATTTTTAAAAATGATTAAATGTTTCATCATCCCAGGATGAATTCTCCCTATCCATTTTAATACAACTTTATCACAATGCTAATTGTTAACACAAACTATTATACACTCCTCACTTGAATTTTTAACTGGCATCAGACCTGAAATTTGTTTTCAATTAAAATCTAACCTTGGCTTGACTTGGCATCACAACCCAAGAACAATGTGGGAATGTTGGCATACTTAAATGAAGTGGAATGTGGGACACACACACTTTTTCTCTAGTCCCTTCTAATAATAAACTCTACCTTTATAAAGATTTTTGGGCACTTGACATGTATGTCCACATCCATTGGAACAGCACTTTTTCACCCCAGAACATTCATTGTCAGCCTCACAACTTTCAACACAGGCAGCTGCAAAGCCACTGGCCTTCTCAGGTGCTGGGCAATCTCCTTGCTTCACTGACAGGATGTATTTCAGGAACTCACAGCTAGTTAGACATTCATAGTTCTTCCTGGGGAAAAGAGGCTAAAAGAAAAATAAGAAAATGGGGGGAAAATTCACAGTGAAATGTGTTGGTTTCCTTTCCAGGGAATTCTTAACTTTCTTTCTTATTGACCACTTCTTCCTTCAGAGGATAAGAAAATGTATGACTTTAAATCATCAATGCATTAAGTCCTTGATGTGATGTAAACAATTACAGATGATATGACTGAAGGAGTAGAAACAGCTGAAACACTAGATGAAACTGACTGTGCAATAATGAATTCCTTCATTTGGAGACAAATGCACTCAAATGTATCATTTGGACTTAAAAATATGGATTTTTTTCCCAAAAAAAGAAAAGAGTCAATGGAATCATTGCTTAATCAAAATAGTAAAATGCTAGCAGATAACATATAAATGGCAAAAGTACTTAATCCCTATTTTGCCTCATGTCATCAAGTAGTGGGTATGTGTTACATCAAACAATTTTGTACAAAAGATGAAGTGCAGAATCAATGCTTGAAATTGATACACACTTGGTCAGGGCACTCATTCAATTTGAATGTTTAAAACTGCAGCCTGTATATTTGCATTTTGGGGTACTAAAGGAACTATCGCGGTGTTTTCATCTATACTTCCAACAAAAGGGCAACATCCAATGAGGGAGCAAAAGATTTGAGAAACAAACCACTGGCTTAAAAACTGGTGTCATTAAGAGAATTCAGAAGTCCCAGAAGTCTGATTTTCGGGTCGTGCATGCATGCATGGGAGGGAGGGGGTCATGCACATATGGAGGGGGCAGGGGGGTGCAGTGCACCCTCTCAGCCCATTTTTCTCCCATGAGGCTGCAGTGAGGCCTACTAAGCCCAAAACAGGACATGGGAGGGTCGCACGTGCATGCGCACATGCATGCATTATATTATGGATGCAGGCAGGAGGTGCACATGCACATGCACTACTTTTGTGTAGTTGACATGCAACTACAAAAAGGTTAGCCATCACTGGCCTAGAGCATTCATTGGTTATTCTAGATGTTATTATAATTATAAAATAATAAAGTGTGATATAGAAAGTATGACAATTAGATAAAATCATAACTGGATCAAAACTGGTACTCAACTGGTAGTCAATCAAACTAGACTGCTCATCAAACTAGACACAGGCATGAAGGCACATCTTATACTCAAGGCATATATTAATAACTTGCATGAAAGAAAGAATGTTTATAAATCTATATATCTTACAAATATAAATGAAATAACTAAGCACATAAAAATGCAAGCAAACTTCAAAATTGCCTTGAACATTAGAAGCAGTTTTCAAAACATGGGTCATGACCCACCCAGGGCCCCATGGGAAACTAGGCAGAGGATGCAAATATTTCTAATATTGAGCACACGCAGGCAAAAGTACTGTCAACACTTCTTCTGCTTGCAAGATGCCAACACTTGCTTTTTGAGGATAAGTCCAGCATGGACTTTTACAGGCTAAATGGATAAAAAAGCTCAGAGCAAATTTGAGAAATGGCTAAACTGATGCGTCTAGCTGTTAAAAAGTTGTTTAAAATGACTTATTTAGTTTTAGTCACAGGAAGCTAACATGAATTCATTTACTATTTTAGGTTAGGATTCCCAAATTGTGAATCGTGACTTGCTAGAAGTCAACAGCAAATCTGAGGAATTGCATATATAAATGTGGATTGCTGCCTAAAGTTGCAACTGGCTTTTTTAAGCAAAGGTATTGACAAGGCTACTTACATTTTGTGCAGACTAAATAACTTCAGTCAACTTTTCCTTATAGCATGAATAAAATATGCACAAGTGACTCTATGAAATTTTTTCACAATTAACATACCTCACAAAAATTTTGGCAATGGTTTTTCTTCAGATACCAGGACTCTTTGCAAGGTTCCAAACACTGAAAAGAATAATTTGAAAGCATGTCAGAGAGTAAATGAGATATCTATTTCTTTAATCAAAATAGGAATTTAAAACATTGCTTTTGAAAAAACAAGAACTGTATTAGTGCAGAAAAATGAACATATAATGTATTCTGAAAGAATAATAGCATAGCTAATTGGCTTCAGCATGGAAAATTTCAACTAAATTACCATTTTGATGTTTCTTATTTATAATAGCATTTATTTCTTTTTCTTGTGCTCCATAAATATGATCAACATCTCATCAGTGACTTGTGATATCAAAAAGTTTAGAAAAGCTTCTTTTTCTGCAATGGCAGTAGATGAGTTGATTTAAAAGATTTGTTTATCAATTCTCTTTAAAGTGGCTGTGGATCAAGCATTTATCATTCATGAATTATAATAGAATACAATTCTGATTCTACCATGTGTGATTCCTTGTCCAAAAACCTGGCTTAAACAATATTAATGGCAAACTGAGTTTACTTTAGTGATTAGCCCTTGATTGAGCCATATCAAAGTTTAATGGCAAACTGATGAGGTTCCTGCCCATCATCTCCTCTAACTTTTGATTGTGATGATTGCAACCTAACTGATGTCTCTTTTTGAGGAAAGGGGAGATAGAGGGAACAAGACAAATGGACACATTTCCAAACAGTAGAATTACCTATGACATTTTAGAATTTTTAGAAATGAATTCCTTGGCTCTACTTTATATTATGATTAGATTCTGTTATATTTTATTATTGTAATAGTTTTCCATTTATTTTAAATTTTAAAAAGCCAAAAAAGAAGTAAATGAAATGGATCATGTTTCCTGGCTCATGACAATAGACCTTCTGTTGGTGACATTGGCACCTACAGATGCTATGTTGGGAACTTAGAAGTCACAGACAAAAAAGCTCCGTAGATTTTTGATTGTAGTAAAACCTTAATCATGCATGATTCTATCTTATGTAATGTCCACAGGAAAGTATTTCCCTGCAAAATATTGAGACTATCATTTAAGCAATCTTTCATGATTCTATTCAGATGTTAAGACTAATTAAATCATGGGAATAGAAACAATTTGTCATGCAAACATAAGGGTTAAGTAACAGTGCAACCTCATTATCCTCTGTTTTGAATGAATTGTACTTTAAACTGATGTGTATAATCTCCAGGTCTACATTTTTTAAAATCTGAATACTATTAAAACGCTTGTGTCTGGAACTAGGTGAAATGGTGCATCATAGGGCAAAACCTTTCTAACCAAGATATCTGAAATCGGCTAACTTACAGAATGTTAGTGCCCATAACTTCTGAGGTAATTAAATTTAGGAAAATTGTGGTTATTTTTGCACTGCCAGGCTGCTGCAACATTAGTGCCACTGCTATGCTTTCACAGTCAGATGTGGTCACATGATCCTTATTTTCAATATTCCCTGACAGTTTCTACAAGTCTCTGGGAACTTGAACCATATTCCCTCACTCTTCCCATACCTGGCAGAAACACTTTCCTACTGCCAGGGAAAGGAAGGAAGAAGAGAGAGGGAGGGAGGGAGGGAGGGAGGGAGGAAAGGAAGTTTTTCAAGGAAATTTGGCTTATCTGGAATTGAACAAGAAGAAGAAAAATTAAAGGAAACTTCTTACATGTTTTATAGATTCTCATGCATAACCTTATTAAGACAATAAAATTGAATATTTTTGTATGGTTTCCACTATACACAATCCGAAACAGGGAAGAGAAAGATTGTCTAACCATTACCAGGCTTCTCTTTTTAGCTTTTCACTTTCTTCCTAGCAATCCACATTGACAGATTCAGCATTACTAAACAGCAAGAGCTATAGGGCTTTTCACTTTAATTTCACGCTTTAATAAGATACAGTGGTTGTTTCACTAAGGGACTGAAAGCTTTTCTTTGTAAGATCTATTTGATGGTCAAGTTAAGTATCACATTCTGGCAATGGGCATCTGTTCTCCAAGGAGAAATGGTAGTGAGAAATGAAAAACACAGGGAAGAAAGATGTGGAAACTTTTCAAAAGTCATCTTCCTCATTAAAGAAATTAGGCCTATTCAGGTCTCTTTCAATGCAAGTGAAGTGCAAATCAAATTAGCTTCTCATTGGTGAGCTGACAGATTATTTAAGGTTTACTATATAATGGGGTCAGCTGTTTATTCTAATCACATTCAGCACTAAACTATTTACTGTTAATGAACCCTATTGTTACACCGTATCAAAGCAAGTATGGGTATAACATGATTTCCTGCCAGAAGATTCCAAACTTAAAGTTCTTCAATTCCTCCAATATGAACAAAACTGTAAAAAAAAATCTGGTGTTTCCAGAATTTCTTGTATTGTACAGAACCAAAGTAACTTTGCACTCTTCATTACTATAAAGTCAATACTCTCGGATTACATAGAGCACGTCTACGAAATAGTAAGAGGTAGGATGGTTATCACAAGATATTCAAACCACTTTCACATTGATTTGTGAAAGTGGAAATTTCTGAAAGTGGAAATCGATAATCACACACAGAGCTCAATTTAGATTGCCAAGACTGGCACATATTTAGGTGGAGCTTTTTTGAGACAGCTTACAAGCAATTTACTGTAATTTTCTTATATGTAACATAATCTTCAAAAGCCAACCAGCTATTGTGGAAGGTTGGCCTAACTCCCACAAAGCACAGGATTTATGTCCATATGATAGAGACCACAAGAAGATAATAAAGGGATTTCCCCCCTTAAATTCATGACTGATTATGTAAAGAGGGTTGCTCATTAAGATTGTCATTAATATTTAGAATATGGTGATGAAATAAATTTAATTCCAGACATCAGGGGACAAATTATTCCAACAGGATAGTTTTTTTCTACTGCTTGTTTTGAGCATGTCCTTTAAAAACATTTTCATCCCAAAACCCAAAATATTTTATTTTAAAGACGTATATTGAATTTAATAGGATGAAGTAAAACTCTATCCATTTACATAGAAAATTCAGGCAGAAGGTGCGGAATATTCCTTTTTTTCTTTTATTTTACTGATAGCATATTCTGATTTTATAATCAGATTTATAATAGCAATGTATTAAAAACTGAATCCTTATACTCGGAAAAGAATATTTTCACTGTAAATTCAGATATAGATATAAATACAGTATTATAGATATAGATATATACAGAGACATAGAGATGTAGAGACATAGATATAGATATATAGAGGCTAAAGGGGCTCTTTATTCCTATTTATTCCTATTTTAATAGTTCAGCATAGCATTGCATTTATTCTTGGCTATTACTTATTACTTATTGCTTGAAAGAACAGGGAAAAGCCAAGGATCTTGATTCTAATCTGGTTTAGTCCTGTGCTGGCTACAGAATTTTAGCCAGGAATCTTGTAGTCTACCTGAAAATGCCAGAGATTAAATTTTGGTCTTTTCGCACACAAATACAGCAACAAATGTTTACTTTTAATTGACTGGCTCAGCAATGTCAGAAACAGGATCTATAGCTGTTGCATTCAGTTTATCAGTCCACTCAAAGCAGTTACAAGATAAACTATGTAACAGCTGTCTACTTATTTGCATTAAGACAAAGACAGTTTGTAAAATCTTTGTTGTAGAGGAAATTATATTCCAAGCACATTTACAAACAAACCAGTTGTTCAGATAATCAATATTTAAGCTCTAATAAAAGCTGTATCTGACAACCACTCTATTTGTATGATATAATTCCCAATTTATCTGCATAACTGTCATACATTTTATAGCAATCAAGCCAAGTTTTTTTTTAAAAAAAATACACAGGTTGCTCAATCTAAAACTGTTAATTATTTACATAGACTCAAAATTAGTATTCACAGTCTGCTTTTCACTAACAAGAAGCTTTCAAGCTGCAATACTTTGTAATTCAAAAAAGACAGTCTGGTCAATAGACTGAGCATGTGAAACATGTTTTCCACTTAAAAAGTCCAAGACCCGTTGAGTGCATAAAGTATTGGCTTTCGTGTTCTTTCAGTTAGTGAAAAATAATTACAATGGATGTGCAATATGTGAGAAATTGATTGCTTCTGTGGCAGCAAATTCATGTATCTTAATCAAATAAGATCACATTTATTGAAGCTATATTGAAAATTGAATTAGTGTTTTAAACATTCAATATATAAACTGCACATATTAAGATTTTTTTCCAGTGTAATTTTAGTCTTAGAATTTACTATTTTACCAATTTCTTTGAAGAAATAACTGAAGCAATTGAAAAAGCTAGTTTCCAAAGCAGTGTAGTATTTATTATGCAATTACACAGAGATTATCTTTAATAAGATGGAGTTGCATGTGGATGTAATATTTTAAAAACATGGTTGAATTAGCAGAAATTCACTCACATGACTCTGAATCCAAGATTGATTTTTTATTTCAATAAAAGTTGTCCCATACATACTGCCAAAATAGAGAGATAAAGGGAAAGCATTCTAAATCTGAAGAGACTTTTATATATACACAATACAGGTAGTCCTTGAATTATGAATGTAATGGAGCTTGCCAATTGCCATTGGAGTGAATCAGATAAAATGAACATCAAAACTCCCTGCTTTTCCCACACATTCGCTAATCAAATAGACAGATCATTAAGTGCACATGAGGTATATCAAGGTGAGAAGACCATGGGAGGCCTAGTAATGGAACATGCCACCTGCTTAAGACCATCCAAGGCCTACCCCAACCCACTGAGATACCTCATGCTCTCCACAATTGCTTTCCCCCATCCTGCCATGATGGGATGCTTACTTTGTGAAGCTCTAGCAAGCTGTCTCCTCTCCAGCCTCTCTGCCGTGCAAGATCATGGCCCTCAGAAGCTTCCAATTTCCACGCAAAAAGTTTGCAAGTCAATAGAATGCTTTGAGGCAGCACAATTTCGCTCCCTCAAAGCATCCCGTCAGCTTACAAATGTTTTGTGTGGAGTCAGGAAGCTTCTGGGGGTCATGATCTTGTTGTCTGAAGTCCTGCGAGATCAT